ACTAAAACGAAAATTTATCTACTAAAATACGTAGAAATAGATACGTAGAAATAGAAAAAAATCTACAAAGCGTCCAACTTTTTACTGTTTGTGGTAAATAATAAAATAATATGTGAAAAATTGAGTCTTGAAATCACGAGAAAATTCACTCACAACACCAGAAAAATAGTAGTACGAATAAAGGCTAAAAATCACTCACCGAAGCACTGAAGATTGTATTTTCATTTATTTTGTTGATACAATACCAGAAACCAAGGCGCGGCTCCTGTCACCAGTGTCACCAGCTCCCGGACTATTAGGATTGCAGAAAAACCATCTTGCGAAGAAATAAACTGGAATCATCCGGCTCGATGTGGCCAAAAATGTGGGGGGAGGAGAGAAGAAATGCTTTTTGTTATCCTTCGATTAGAAATATTAGAATCCTCTCCCACATTTTATTTACAGAGAAAAGGTAGTTCCGTTTTTGATACAGGTTGAAATAACACGCAAGCTCCGACCGTTTCTTTTCTATGTACAAGTATTTTATTTATCACTAAGATCACCACTAACAATTCACGAAAATATACAATTATGTACAAGAAAACTTCGACTTAGAACTTATTTACAATTTTTTTTCTTACTGATTTTTGCCACTTGGCAATTTTAAACTTCACTATTATGACTTAAACAATCGCGCCTAGAAATACGCGGAAAAAATACCCAACTCACAGGGTGAAAATAATTTTTAGAAGGAATGATGAAATCATAATATGATTTCGAATAAATGTACTTCTTATTGTACGTGGGAAAGCGAAATAGCGAGATGAGCGCTTGACTGACGCGAACACCTCAAAAGCTAGAGAGTAACTGCCCTTAAAAAAGTGGGTCAATAATAGAAATATATTTTAAAATTATTTTACTTTCAGTGTGTGCGACAAAGAGACTTTGGTGCCAGGTACGGCCCGACTGGCTAGACTACCGGCGCCTTATTCTGCGAAAATAAATAGGGGAAAAGAAATAAGTTTTTATTTTTTTAATTTAATTTTGTTTGGGAATTTAGAATCTCAACAGAGATATTGGTCTTTAAAGTAAGCATATTTTGAGAACTAGTAATTTTGACTATCTCATAGACAAAAGAAATCTGTCATAAAAGTCTCAAATACACATCGGGGAAACCGGCCTAACCCCCACCCGTCTTGATTTCTTTTGTCTAGGAGATAGTCAAAATTACTAGTTCTCAAAATATGCTTACTTCTAAAGACCGATATCTCAAAAACTAATCATCCAATTTAAGTTTTTGCTATATGACTGTAAAGGGATAGCAACATGCTATTGAACTATGTACAACACATGATAGGTTGGTATTCAAAAAAATAGGTTAGGGTAGCTACCCCCTAAGGCCCTAAGGGGTGAGGCGGGGTGACTCAAAAAGTGCCTCATTTTGGCTCCTCCTTCAATCCCCCGATACGTATTTTAGATCTTCCTGATAGTATTTTTTGCTCGATTTTTTGTCCAAGAGATATTCCCGATTGCTACTTTTCAAATTGTCACCCTGTATGTGTATCTCATGAGTCATAAAGTCTTGTTCTCCGTCTTGTTGGGTTTGCCGAGGTATTATGTTACAGGTTTGCCGAGCGTTTTGCCAAAAGAAACCACGCTTCTATCAGGCAGTTATTTGGAGGGTACAGAAGTATAATTTTATTGAAAGAACATTTGTCTCATCTCCCCAGGTTGCACAGAAACCAATTTTGGGAGCACTATTATTTCCTATTGACACCAGAGATTTCCTATTATTATTTGTGCCGGCTTGGATGATGATGTCTTCTGTATTGTACCGAGTGCGGGTCCTTCTGATCACAAAATTCAGTAAATCTTACCAACTCTGCCTTACTGTGTACTCGTTGGGTACTTTGCTTACTGCAGATCTCTTGAGCTGGTTCCATGTCTTGTTGACTGATGTCTTTTAATGTTCATTTCCAGCTTCTGGTGCTTCAAAAATATTATATGTACTGTGGGTTTATGTGTCATATTAGATGTACCTATACTATGTCCAACGAACGTAAACATGGCGGCCCGATTACGGTTTACACTACACAAATACCTGGAAAAATATTTTATGTCCGATTGACCAATAAAATGCTAATTATAGAACAGTTTGCGTCAATAAAGTAAAATAAAGTGCTACTTTATTTTACTAGTAAAATAAAGTGCTACTTTATTGCCTACCTAGACTACCTGACAAGGTAAAACTGGTCCTGACAACCTGCCAAGGTGAAACAGGTCCTGACAACCTGCCAAGGTGAAACAGGTATACCTACGCGAATTTTACTTTTTTCATTAAATTTTTTAATTTTTTAACAAAAATCAGTCGCAATCCTACATAAAATCATGTATATAACGCTTACATAAACAGGCTTTATTGACTCATTATTTAATAGCCTCGCTCGCAAGCTCGCTCGGCCATAAAATTATTCGTACAATAAAGCCTTACTTTATGTACTTGTTATATAAATAGCTATTATAGAAATAAACCGAAAAAAATGCCATAGGTATAATATGTAATTTTAAAAAGCACTTGCACAATCTACTATGCGCTCACTACAGAACTGTTATATTCTTATTTGACATTTAATTAATTTGAAACCTTATAAATTATCACTATACAGTGTAAGGCGGCTCAAAAATTGGCCATTAGTAAGGAACCTCTTGAGGGGTATGTTGTTTTTTTACTCCGTAGGTTTGTTGGACAGAGTTTAGGTTATTTTATTGTGAAACATTGAACTAGCTGTAAGGACTCATTTTGAAAATCTCATCGTCAATTCTGGCAGAGTTGAAAATACATTCTATTGCTCCCATTGATCAGAAGCTTGCAAGCAGTATTGTTCCTCATTGTAATACATTGGACTTTCTACAGAAAGAATTGGTTTAAGTCGTATTTTAGGCAGGAACCAGCATATTAGGCTACATGGAGCTAATTGGGACAAATGCAATCTCCCAATCCCAAAGTCTACCTTAACTAAGCGCTCTATAATGTACGAGAGTATCAAGATTTACAACCATCTTAATGAGACCTGTAGATCTTTGCCATATAAACCATTTCGAAAGACCGTGGTGGACCTCCTTGCTGGTAAGGCATAAGTACTATAGCCTAGAGGAATTTTATCAAGACAGCTTTCGAGCTTGAATTGTGCAGCTTTTAAATTTAAGTACAATTTTTGTCTTGTGCTCAAAGTTTTGCTGTTTGTATTGGTCCTGCTGTGATGTACCTATTGTTGGAGCCACATCTGTATAGTTGTGATTGTTTTATCTAATTTGTTTTATCTAAATTTGTAATGTTTTTCTTTTAAGTTATTTTTGTATTTTAATTTTAATCTGTATTGTTTTAATTTTCAAATTGACGTGGAATGTAATCAAGAACGGAAAAAAAAAAGATAAACACTAGATTTAAGTATTTGTTTTTTATATTTTTTAGAAGTACTAGTGACATTTATACATACTTATAACTTATAAGTAGTTATAAAGCTTTGTCAATGAATACCCTGTATTTTGGACAATAAAGCATATTTGATTTGATTTGATTTGCAGAGTCCCTCCTGAGCATCAGGGTTCACTATTTTATTTCTAATTTATATCAATGATACGAGCAATGATATGACCTCCCTTAACTTCAGTGGTAAATTTACAGTGTTTGCTGATGATACCACAATATTGTGGCACTGCAAGATCTCTCAGGAACTGGCCAAAGTAGTGGGAGATGATATCAGTAGGGTGAAGGACTGGTATCACAAATTGTCTTTTAATGTTTCCAAAAGTAATATTGTAAACATTTATTGTTGTGATGTTAGCTCTGGCAGTAGCTGAGGCAGTAGCCTAATCTCTATCAACTGGGATGCAAAGTTCTGGGGCTAAATATAGATAATAGGCAAGATAATAGGTTGACTTTCGGAAACCATGTAATGAACTTGTGTAATAAATTAGTGTTGGACTGTTTTGCAGTAAGGGTGGTATCAAGGGAGCTGAATTTAAGGTTGACAAAATCAGTTTACTTCCCGCTTATTCAGACCTATGTATGGAATCTGCTTTTGGGGTAGTTCGAGTAATTTCCTGCTAAAATCAGTTTTATGGTGGGTATTATAAGACTATTTTCACAGAATAACTAAAAGTTAACTTCTGGAATGATGTTACTTCTCATCTAATTCCAGAAGTTAACTTTTAGTTAACTGCCAAAGTAGTTTTATAATACCCGCCCTTAGTTTTAGTTCTGAAGAAAAGGGCAGTCAGGTATATGTGCGGCGTTGAAGGTAGTTAATCTTATAAACCCTTGTTTATTCAGAATAACATTCTAACCCTAACACTGTCTATTTAATATTCAAGAAGTTTGGAGAAGAAAAGAGTGGAGTCTCATTACAATACTAGTCAAATGGGCACTATACCTTTACTGAGCCCTTTACCCGAGCCTTTACCTCATACTAAACTTGTGAAGAATCCCAGTAAAAAAAATGTATACCCTTTTGCCTAGTGGCATGCATAAGATCCCTAGAATCCCAGAAAATGGCTGGTAAAGGCACTATTAGTGAAAAAAACCTACTATAGTAGGTATAGTGTGACAGAGTTTTTTAATACCCAACTGTTTGGTGGGGGTTTTTTTTTGTTCAGTTACTTTATATTCTAGTCTCGATTTTAGTTTTTAGTCTAGTTTTAAATATTATAATACATTTATATAACAAATACAAATCAGACAATAAAATATATTTGAAGTAAAGTACGGCAAATTATTTTGTGGTCTGTAGCATATAGGTACAGCACACTAAAAACAACAAGGAAATCATTGGGCTAATATGATTTTCAACTAAAGGAGATACCTACATACAGATAATCCATCAAGTTTAAGATTTTTTTGCCGGGTTTTTTATAGATGCTTAAAAAAAGTTAGCATGTGAGTATGTATGCACTAACACACAAACTATGGAAGTCTCAAAACCTATAAATACATTATTCAATACAAACAAATTTTCACTCACCCGAAGTGCATGTTTACGTGAAACTCCATTACCTTCTGATACAGCCAATAATTCATCGACAGTCTTGGCATTAGCTAGTTTATTATCTGTAGTGGGTGTTGTAATATCCTCAGCACTATCCTCAATATTTATCGAAGCGAAAACGTTCTGAATCATTTTATTTCCCCTTTTTGTTGTGTTCCTCATATCTGTATTGGTGTGTTTTCGATCTTCGGAAACGTTTTGTGTATTTAGGTGCTTCGCTTCTGCCTGGGTGGATGAAGCGAATCCATTGTGCCACGCGTGGGGTACTATCCGATTTGTCCCTTTAAATTGTTGAACTATTATTTTTTGATAAAATTTAAACATTTTCCTTTTTCCTAAGCTTTGAAAATATTAGATAACCTATAAAACCGGAGGTGAAAGGGCTACTGTCAATGTCAGAATGTCAATTGAGTCAGTTCGGATGGATGGACGGGCACTTTCCAAAATTCACCGGTTTCTGAACCGGTGCGATACCGGTTTAATAGTTAACTCATCAAACCGTTCCAAAATTTACTGACTTTTTACCGGTTGAACCAGATCGTCCGTTCCAAAATTGACCGGAATGATCAGCTGTTTGAAACCGGTGACGCACCGGATCCACCGGGAATTTTTGTCGGTTTTTTAGGTTGGAGATTTTTTGACGTACATCAATTGCTTTGAATGGGCACTATCGGCAGTTGTTCGTTAAATTGTCACAACATAACCGTCACAACCTATAACCCTTTTCACGTGGCTCTGGTATAACAAACCGCAACATACCGCTCAAATTCGAGTGGTAGGTATCCACACGTCACTTTGTAACCGGGTTAGAAAACGGTCATTTCTCTAACCGTTTTGTAACCCGGTTAGTTAAACCAGAGCCACGTGAAAAGAACTAAACTTTAACACGCCATAGCGTTCCAAAATTCATCAGAAAAATCTTGTAACCGGACTTACACCTAACTTTTACCGGAATTTTTTGACAGCCACCGGTTTATTTAACCGGTCAATTTATCGGTGAAATTTGGAAAATGCCCGACGTCATCCATTAAAAGTTTACATTTGTACCTGCTTCATCTGCTCCACTGCTCCAAGCAAAACTAATGTAGACGAAAGTTGCATTCTAATGTGAAACGCTGGTTGCTTGATTTGGGAACGCGAATCAGATTGGTGCAGATCCTAGTAATAGCACATCTAAAATCTTTGAAGTCAAGAAAACTTTTCAAGCACTAGAACACCTCACCTAGAGTAGTTCGCCTTTTCTTCTGAAAGGAACAGAAATATTTCACTGTTTCGTTCGGGTGGATTATGACATTTTTGCAGAATAATCTTGCCTTATGGAGATTTGCAATGTTGAGGCACCCCAGATGACGTCATAAAGTTATCAGGCAACCCAAGGAACATACACACCTACAGGATTGCTTATCGGCCTCGTTTTCGGTAATCGTCGCCATGGTGTGTCACCATTTTCGACGTCATAACTAAGTCGTCAGCAGTTACAGGCCATCCTGTAGTAGTAGTAGTTGTATTCCTTTCTCACCTAGGAGGAGCTCCGGAACAGCTCCGGGGCTTCACGCGCTTATTCATTTCGAAAAGTGTTTGTTGCACCACGCATCTGTTCCCTGCAAATCGGGGGCGACTTAACACCGGAGCGAGTAGCTCGTAGCTCGAGTGTTTCGAACTCTTGCTTGAAAGGAATACAACTAGTGTGTAGTATCCTTGCATAGTTGTGACATTTTACTGACGACGTGCTGTTCCATTCGACAGTCCGGGACATATCCGGTGGAGACTGTTTCCCGTAGGGGTGCACTCCGAGTATGCCCGTTGATTCGCCCAAACTGCACGGTCGAGACGCGACGCATTCTCTTCTCATACCCTACTGTTTACAGGTCGCAAAACTCAATATTCTGGTATTTCAATTATGTTTCAATAGTTGCCTAGGAATCAATGAATAACAATACGGGAAACACTTTTCCGGCCTAGGCCGGGAAAGTGATTCTTGTACTGCTGAATAATTTTAACAAAAAGACAAACATTTAACAGATATTTAACCGATCGCAGAAAAAATAGTATGTGTATTTCGGTGGAAAACACATTCTCAGCCTTCGGTGTTTGCCGGCCTCGGCTACGCCTCGCCCGTCAACTTACACCGTCGGCCGAGAATGTGTCACTTTTCCACCTAAAAACACAATATACTATTGCCGTTTTCATAATTTTCAGCAAACTATGTTGTGCAAAGCAATCTGAACGGCCAGAGCCGCCTTCGGGTGCAAAGTGCGAAGCTCCTAGAACACGTCACACCTGTCATACTCCATGCGTTTTGCACTTGAACGCTTGAAGCCGAACGGGTCAAACTGTAGCCGGAGTACTTCGGAGTAACTCAGGAGCGCTCAAAGTGTGGCACCCGAAAGCAGCTCAGGGGCGAGTTCAGGAATGACACACCCAGTGTGAGTGTGACACCGGTGCAACGCCCTAGCTGTTCAAAAATGCTAGACGGTCATATGGGCCCAATGACCAATAGGGCATGTCCATGTGACGTCACAAACAAAACAGAAGCCCTGGGGTAAAACAAATCTATTTACATTCGTGTAGATTGGGCCGGTTATGTTTTATGCGGTTTTCACAGCTTTTTTACAAGTTTTTGTGTTATTTTGTTCTAAAGAAGTTAGAGTGGAGTGTTTGTGTTTCAGTCTATGTGGTCTTGTATCCAAAAGTTTGCTAGGTTGTCCTATAATGGATTAATTTCAGGTTTTTTTCAACAAATATTAAAACCAATTGTCACAAGAACAAATATATAAGTATAGTTACTCTATATTCAATCTATTTTTCTGTCAGATCTTCTCTTTTAAGAACATTAATCAATATTTCTCTTCTTTCTTGAGCTAACAAATCAAACCTCCCATTGTTATTTAAAATTGATGGAAACCTATGGAAAGATATTATATCCCTTGCACTATACTGCCACAATTAACAACTAAACAAGCTCTAGGCATGTCCAAGAAACTTCTGGATCACACAAAAGGTATTTATTTATTTAAAAAAATCTAACTGAAAACTTAAAAAACACTGTAAATTATGTCTTTGTTTTACCCAATGAACTATAGCCAAAAACTGGAATGCGCATACATTGCCATATCTGCCAAAAAAATGTAGCCTTGAAAGACAGATGCCACAAAGGGGAATGTTTTTTTTTCTACAGTGACTCTATAACCCACAGTGGCGACAATTGCTGTCTCATTTTTGATTGGTTCTCAAATCGCATATATTTATATTGAAAACACCGCCATCTTGTTCCCAACCCCTTGTTACTTTCAAATATGAATATATGGGATTTAGTTGAGCATTCATCATAAATCATGGAAAACAACGTATTTGATGGACCTAATACTGGTCATCAAATACGTCGATTTCAATTTTTTATGATAGATGTCCATTTAAATCTTATGTATATAAATATTTAAAAGTAACAAGAGGTTGGGAACAAGATGGCGGCGGGACCTCTATTGTCGCCACTGTATGTAAAGGTTTATTTAGCCACTGTAGTTTTTTCTGTTGCTCACTGACATATGACGTTTTCGAAAGTTTTGTCATATTTCCCTTCACAGGTTTCATCAATTGGAATACGTGTTGGAAGCAATTTTCGCCATTTAACATAATGAGTGCGACAAAAACAGGTATCCCCTCCGTAGCAGCTGCACTAGGCTTCACGTTCGTCCTTATGTGTTAGCATTCCAGTTTTTGGTTATAGTTCATTGGTTTTACCTCAAGGCGATTGTCAATAGTGTCAAACTGTCAGATCGTGTACTTGCCCTATTGTCAATTCAGGCACACCCTTTGAATCAAGAATCGTAAACTTTACAGGATTGCTCAATCGGCTAAATTTGTTCACAATTGCTGTGACGTCACGCGCATGCCGGATTTTCAAGATGGCCGCTGATACGAATGATGTTTAGTTTGTGCTGACAACTATTTTATCGTAAATTCGGATTTATCTAGTGTTATAAGTGTAAATTTAAAGTTTCATTTAATGTGTGTAAGCATAAAAGACTCGTGGCTGAAAATACTCGCGAAAACCCCAAGCATTTTCTGGTTTTATAATACTGGATTTGTTGTATCAGGACATCGCTCTTTTATTTGTGTGTATTGCTACTTAGTATTTCCTAGTCAAGCATTTGTTTTGCTTTTTTTTTTATAAATCAAATATCTACTTAGTTGTAAGTTTCCTTTGCATGTAATTACTAATAAAAATTAGGGTTTGTGAAGAGTGAATAAATAAATATGTAAATAAATTCCTTTACTGGCGCGTTTACTATGAAAACGCATGGAAAATAAGTTAAACTTGCAATGTTTTTCTGGAATATGATTATGAGAATCTAAATTAGGTATCACTATTTGGCTTTGTGAAATAAGCTCACTTTGAATGTCCATATTAAATCGTTCTAGTACCTATTAAATTAATGAATAATAATTGAGAAGTACCTAGGTAGGGTCAGTAAAAAATAAAGCACACTATTGCAACCCCGTTTCGCTTATATTTTGATATTGAATTGCAAAAATTAAACCGGCTCGGCACCCCACATTTGGTTTTCTACTGTTTCTCAACTGTAGTCAATTGTGCCCGTTTTGTGCTCAATTGTGCCAGTATTTATGCGAATTGTGCTCATTTTCATACACAAAAAAAACATTGAAACGAATCCGGGGGCCAGCTTGACTCCAGCCCTTCGTTTTTTTGACTTTTTGGCAATATGTTTGGCTAATTGATAAACAAAAGCAAACAAACTCGTCTTTCTAATTAGCAATTAGCCAACCACTCAAGCCTCAAGGACACAAGCTTTTGAAGTCTGCTAATTTTAAAATCAATAAATTAATTAGAAAATACAGTTTTCAAAGGAAATAACCTCAAAATAACAATTTTTCACGTTTGAAAATGCAAGGATAGTGCACTGTCATAAAAAACACAAACCGATCAAGGACTGCGTGACGTCATTCGCATACCGCCATCTTCGATGTTTTTATGAACGTTTGTCTTATGGGATTGAGCAATCCTGTAGAGTTTACGATTCTTGCCTTTGAATATAAAACTACAGGAAGGAGCATAACCTCGAATCTGCGCGACCAGAAAATGTGGAGGTTGCATATGGCCGACTAGTGTTTCCGGTTTGGCAGTCGTGTATATTTATTTAAATATGATTGTCAATATTATGAATCACTCTTTTCGCACTAATTCCAGTGCTTATCACTTAAAACCGCTAAAATCCAGTAAACCTCCACTTGAATGAGGACACAGCGAACCACCGCTTCCGTCCCTGCGTTATCTGTAGTGGCAGATAGGAATAGCTCCTTCCTGTTTTATATTCAAAGGGCACACCCAATAGTTCTTTTCACGTGGCTCCGGTTTAACTAACCGGGTTACAAAACGGTTAGAGAAATGACATACCGTTTTTTAACCCGGTTACAAAGTGACCTGATGGATACCTACCACTCGAATTTGAGCGGTATGTTGCGGTTTGTTAAACCGGAGCCACGTGAAAAGGGTCAATGAACTATAGTCAAAAACTGGAATGCGCACACATTGCCATATCCGCCAAAAAAATGTAGCCATGAAAGACAGATGCCACCAATGAAGTGCGACAAAAACAGGTATTCCCTCCGCAGCAGCGGCACTAGGCTTCAGGTTCGTCAATATGTATTAGCATTCCAGTTTTTGGTTATAGTTCATTGGGCACACCCATAAAATCGCACTCGCACCCTGTGCGTTATTTCTGAACTCGGTCCAGAGCGCGCTCGGGTGACACCCGACGTAATCTGAACGCGCTTCATGTCATGATGCATACAAATGTCATAATTCATTTAGATGACAGTCGTTTTGTTTTTTGACTTCTGTTTAGTTTGGAGTTGTGGATTGTGAATTTTCAATAATTCTCATTAGCAAACTAGGTAATAGCTAAAAATGAGTTCCAAGAAAAATCGTACCCGCGATAGTTCATCCTCATCGAATTCGAGTAGGGCCTCTTCTCCTGATTCAAGGAAAAAACATGGAAAACATTCTAAATCCCATGAAAAGCGCCAAGAAAAGAATAAACCTAGAGAATCTGGAAGGTTTGTATCCGAAATTTATATAACAATTTAAAACACGTTGAGAACACAGTTATTAAATTATTTTTATTTTGTAGGATTAATTTAATAGCATAAAAATAATTAGGGTGAAAGTCGTCTAAAGTTAATACATCCATTTGCAGAACAAGGAGGAGTGTGTCGAAGGAACAAGTAAGAGAACCATCTAAGTATAGAAGAAGTAGATCTAGGTCTAATGAAAGACAAGCTAAGCATAGGAATAGATCTAGATCCAGGAATGAGTCCCAATCCAGAGATAATAGGTCTCGTTCAAGGGAAGCCAGACGTTATAATGATAGAGATAACAGAGCTGGTGGGTCTAGACATGATAGAGGGAATCACAGAGATTTCAGAGATAGATCCAGAAATAATCAAAATGATGGGAGAGATTTTAGAAGGAATGATAATAGAAGGTTAATAATAATTGTTCACATTGTTTTTTTGCTTTTAAATATCAAATGTAATCATTTACAGAAGAAGAAATAGTCCTTCATTTGACCATGCAAATGCCAAATGGGGCAAAGGAGAAGATAATCCCAAAGATAAAAAAAAGCAAGAGAACAAGGCGAAGCCTGATTTTGGCTTGTCAGGGAAATTGACCGAAGAAACTAACACTTACAAAGGAGTTGTGATCAAATACAGGTAAAACATCACTACTAAACCTTTGAGGCTCAAACTTCATGAAATTTTCATTGGTGCAAACCATATTTTGATATCTTTGAACATTTTGCCACTAGAGGTTTATAACTCAGTTAAGGGGATTGAATGCGCCTCAATGCCAAAATATTTTTTCCTGCGTGAAGCACCTAACGCAGTCTATAATTGTATTCTTCCTCCCCTATTAATACTTCTTAGTGGGAATGAGATGAATGAAACCAGGAATGCATTGCGTTCTTAATTTCAACGTAACTTTTTAGCAGTTGAAGCTATATCAAATTTCTTTTTTGCATTCGATTTATAATATAGGGACGAATGGCACTATCTTTTTAGAAATCCGGTAATAGAAACGAGTTCTCGAAAAATTACAAAAATGTAATTCAAACTGGAAAAAAAATGAGAAAATTAATCAATTTATGGTGTCTTTTTTAATTAGCGCCAATCTTATGTGTGTTAGCAATACAATAGCACAAACCAGAATCCCAAAAATTATCTAGTTTTTTTTGTAGAAATTTAATGAATTCTTCTTGTCATTTTGCCTGTCTCTGTTATACCCGCAGCAAACTCTATGGCTCTTTCCTCCGCCTGTTTTGCGATAAATTTTAAATCGCTATCATGAAGGATTCAGCGCCAACCGGCCCAACAGTAGCTCAATGCATTAATCGCGATGAACCTCTCATATTTATTAGTATTAACTTGTTGGGTAGTCATATAGTTCGATGTGTGTTACAATATATTATAAACGGCCCATTCAATACCCTTAATAGCTCTGGTTTTGCTGATTCTAATGTAAAGGGTTTATCAGGATTATCTCTGAGAGTTTTTGGGACTTTTTTTAAAATCTGCTTTAGGACTGGTTTATTCATCTTCAAATAAACTTGCTGGTTACTATCTGCAAGATAAATTCACCATTCTGTAATTGTATTAGTCGGCAGATAACTAACTGACCAATGGAATTTCACTGCTTTTTTTTATCTGTCAGATTGCATACCTAACAGTTTATCAGAAGGAGAATAAACTGGAACTTAGCCATAAGAAACAATGTATTGGAAAAAGTGCTTTCTCATTACCTCACCTACTCACCGATATAAAGTTCCTTTCTAAAACTGACAAAAACGAAAACTATTGAAGATTTTGATAGGTTAATCTTTTTATATCATTGAAATCAGCAAAACTGCCAAAGCTAGAACTATTTAATGAGTGTGGGTATCCTCTGGGCTGTCCTATTGAAGAAAATCGGACTTGGACAATTTATCGAAATCGGGACCAAATAACAAAAAACTGAGAATGTCACTGGCTTCCGCTTGAAAAGAAAACATATGTCAAAAAATTTTATACAGAAATAAATTACATATTCTCATAAACAAAAAACTTATGAAGCTCTTACAGTATTGATCAATACAGTGACTCTATTAACTGTGGCTTAATAGAGTCACTGGACAATTGCCATCCTATTTTTGATTGGTTCTTTAAAATCCTATGTATTCATATGGAAAACGCTGCCATTTTGTGGCCTACCTCTTATGTAGTTACATAATAATAGTCATCAAATACAATGTTTTCAATTTTGTATGATGGATGTCCATTTAAATCCTATGTATCCATATTTAAAATTAGCAAGAGATAGGCCACAAAATGGCGGTGGGACCTCCATTGCCGCCACTGTTTGTAAAGGTTTATTGTATTGATCAAAATCGAGAAATGTCCTCTAGCGGCAAAACTGTTGATTAAATCCAATGCGGTTTGTACCAATGAAGATTTCATGAAATTTCAGTCCAATAGTAGGGGCTTAATTTTTTTGTGTCTCACTCAGAAATTGACGTTACCTATTAGAAGTAATAAAATCAGCTCACTGGCACTGTATCTAGTGATTATATTAGTTTTTATATATGTTTATAGTGAACCTCCAGAAGCAAGAAAACCAAAGAGAAGATGGAGACTTTATCCATTTAAGGGCGATAAGGCCTTGCAAACTTTGTATATTCACAGAGAAAGTGCTTATCTTATAGGGAGAGATAGGAAAGTAGTGGATCTTGCTGTGGATCATCCTTCTTGCTCTAAACAACACGCTGCTTTACAGTATAGACTGGTACCTTTTACTAGAGATGATGGATCTAGTGGTAAGGATGTTTTTATATTTTTCAAGTACGCTTTTCTGCAATCAATATTATCTATGGAGTGAAATTTACAGTTTTATATGTCAGAATAATTCCTTAGATAGCTAATGCATTTATTTTTTAATTGTGCGCCTAGCCAAATTATTAGCTGTATGTGCCCATAGAATCATACGGTAATTCTCAAAGAAAAACACTGGAGTAAAATGTAAAATGAAAATATGGTACCTATGGACCTATCTACGCTTGTGGAATGGTGTTGATACAATCTAAGGTTGATACCATACTTAATCTAACTTAAACTATACACTATACTTAAAACTAAAACACTTCAACAACCAAACAAACCAACTTCTAGTAATAACATATTTCTATTTTTTTATATATAAGGTACCTGTCCCAAAAAAGGCCACGTTAAGAAGTTTTATTTTTTTCTAATAGGACAAAATAGCACAGATATAATATATATTTGATGGAATAGCTATCTATTTTCTTTTTGAGAATTACTTTTTCTTTTCAGGGAAAAGAGTTCGCCCCTACATAATCGATCTAGAATCCGCAAATGGTACATTTCTCAACAACAATAAAATCGAAGCAAAAAAATATGTGGAGCTTCTTGAACGTGATGTTTTGAAATTTGGATTCAGTTCCAGAGAATATGTTTTGCTGCACGAGAACAGTAAAGATGAAACGATGGATGATGACGTGAAAGTAGAAGATGAAGAGGTCAAAAAGGAATTGGAAATTACTGATGTTAAAGAAGAAGAGGCAGCATTGATTTAGGTAGGTATTTTTTAGCAAATTAAACTACAAAATTATTTCTGAATTCTTTATTGGTCTAATTATTAGTCTAATTTGTACAAACAACTTACATAGTATCGATTTATTTATAAAATAAATAACAATTTAAAAATTCCCATATTTTGTTTTGATCTAAAATGGAAACAGTACCTAAAATAATAGTTATGAAATATCATCACATTCCAATTCGTCTTTATATACAAGGAAATGTACAATGCAGGTCCTCTTAATAAATAAATAATTATACCTATAGTTTGCAAACTTGCTACAAATAGCAGCTTCGGAACCAATATTCAGCAACTTATTTTTGCTGCTGAGTGGATCATTTTGAATAAGGCACATTTGCTTATTAACACTCATAGTTAATAAAGGAACATTTACTTAAATTGAGTATTTTTTCATGTTAACCATTTGATGAAAAAGTCAATTTTATAAGTTCATGTTATTATCAACTACATCATTTTTTTCATTACTACCCTCATGAGTCTTAATTTTAATTTCTGATAGAACACTATTGCCTAGTTCTTGACCAGATGTTTCATTATTATTGACTATCAAACCATTGGGGATTTCATATCCATCATTTTCTAGAGAGGTGTCCTGTTCTGGTTCATAAAGTAGTTCAAGATATTTTGGTATATCTGGAAGACCAACATCTTGGGATGATAAAAATGGTGTTTTCTCCCTGCTTGTTTCGTCTTCTGTTCCGCTTTTCCAAGACATACCTATAAACAGTTAGTGTTTAGATTGTAAATATAATTTACAGATGCTATAAGTTATGACAATTATTATCAGTTAGTGCCTAAACATCTCGTATTTACATTAAGCAAAAAATTACCTGAATTTTCATTTTCATCTAGAAAATATGCGGCATTCGATATCCCAGCAAACACTGTAAAGCATGACAAAAATGACAAGTTAGTACACATGCACCAGACAATAATATAAACGTTAGTACACAGATTGTATTATAAACCAAGATTAGGTAATTGAATCAATGAGTTTTTAGCAAACAAAAATAACAAATATTTATTGCTTTTAGAATTTTTCTAACTTATTTTGTAACAAAATGCAACATCTCAAACTTCAAAATCCTACTTACGATCTGGAACAGTACTTATGTACTGAGAATGGGCCCCAGTTGTAGGATTCCTCAGATGCTCCCTATGAGACTGATCCAATACTTCCAGACAATACTTAAATGTAGGTCTTTGTTCAGATTCAAGTTCCCAACATTTAATCATCAATTTATACCTGAAGAAAATAGAATTGTTGATAAAAACGCATTCAGTTAATAAGGTTGAAACTTACAAGTCGTCTGGACAATCTGTAGGCTTTCCCAATCTTCCACCTCCTCGCACATAGTGCAAAACTTCTAAATTACTTCTTGCTTGATAAGGCTGCTGCCCCAAAGTCATTATTTCCCATAATAATACTCCAAAGGCCCATACATCTGATTGGCATGTGAATACACCATCTAGAAGCGATTCTGGAGCCATCCACCTGCAAGAGTGGTGTCATTTATAAAACGTCATCAATGCTAATTGATGTGGTATAAATATAAACAATTAGTCATCTTGGTGTACTTTGCTTACCTAACAGGCAAAAGTCCTTCTCCCTCTTTTCTATAATAATCATTCTTGTAAATATCCCTGGCAAGTCCAAAATCACCAATTTTCACTATCCTGTTCTCTTTTTCCATACAAGATACTAGGCAATTTCGACAAGCTAAGTCTCTATGTACAAAATGCATTTCTTCCAAATATTTACAACCTTTGGTTACATCTAGGCACATTTTTAGTAGTTCAATCAGATTCAAAGATGGTGTATTGTTCTGAAACAAAAAAAAAAAAAAATTTCAATTAAATTGTTTTAGGTAGTTGAACAATTAACTCACCAATCCACCTCTAGAATCTCTTAAATAAGTCAACAAATCACCACCTTCCATAAGTTCCATAATAATGAACTGAGGATCATTATCCAGACAAACTCCTAAAAGTTGCAAAATGTGTTCATGCTTAAAATGACTCATCAATTGAGCTTCTTGTAAGAATTCTGTTTTTTCTTGCTCCGACGCTCCCTTTTTCAACGTTTTTACCGCCACCTTTGTCTCAACATCTCCATTCGGCAGTTTTTTAGCTTTGCCCTCAAACACTTCACCAAAAGCGCCACTTCCTAAGAATTTCGTAAGGGTTATTTGGTCTCTACGTATATGGGGCAACATTGTAATGTCTTCTCCATTGTGAACCGCTGGAACATAAAGGATGTTCGTGTTGTGCACCCCTCGACGTGGCAGTTCGCGGAGTGTCGCCAGTTCTACATCAGGACCTCTTGGAATGGCCACTAATTGTTCGACTTTTTTTTGTTTACTGCATCTTCGAAAGTAGGTCACTGAAAAATTAACTATCCGTGATGATATTTGTAACTTAAAATATCAATTCTCACCATAACTGAAGCAAATTACGATAATAATGCAAATGCTTATTGGTAAGAGTGTTGCAATAAAAATTAAGTTCATAGGGTTTTTCTGCGATAATCTTTCAGCTTCATGTATATCAAACTCGGTGCTTTCTGGACTTGGATCGCTCCATCCATATGAGTTCATTGCAGATACACGAAAAGTATACTTATATTCATCCCTTAAGTCAGTTATAATCCAAGAATTTTCTAAAAAAAAAAAAAAATAATTAACACAAATTAAAGCAACACAATGACTCCTACTAACCAGATCCATTATACACTTGGTTCCACTCAAATTCCTCCTCTTCAATCGATGGTGCACTATAAAACCAAGCAGTTCTATTTTCACTGACGCTCCTTTTGTTCCTATAAAACTTCAAAGCAAGAGACTCTAAAGAGTACAGCTCTATTTTGGCTCCGTTATCATGAGGGGCGTCCCAAACTACTTTGTAGATGTTTGAGCCGAAGAATTGAATTCCTGGCGAACTTGGTGGACTTGGTCTGTCACCTGAGAATATTAATACAATAACTAACTACACAATTCTTAGTTTGTTAAGTTTTTTTTTTGTTATTCACAATAAAACACCCCAAAAAATCCTCACCAAATAAATTTAGAGATAGTGAGGTTCAGTTACACAACAAATTAGTTCTGAGGCATTCTAAAGTATAAAATTTAGTGCTGCAGTTAGGCTAGTTTGAATTCTAGAAGCTCAAAAAAACATTCAGAGACGCTAAATCAGTTCTGAGACACTCTGGAGTATAAATTAAGCGCTGCAGTAAAGTTGTTTTAAATTCTAGAGCCTTGATAATTATGAAAATACAACTGCTCAATCAGCTCTGAGTCACTCTGTACATTTGAAGCTGCAATTCATTTGGATTCAATTCTGGAGTCTCGCAGAACTCTGAAGTCTCATTAAATACACCCTAGAAGCGCTCTAATCTAAATCTAAAAAAGTCGAGTAGTGTAAAGCCTCTTAAGCTCAAGGCCTCAACGAATTATGAACACCATGAATTTGCAAGAAATTCATGGTATTCAAAAAATGCTCTGAGGCACTGAAGTGTAATTTCAAAGCTGCTATTGGGTTACTTTAACTTCTAGAGCTTAAAAAAAATATGAAATAAGACCGATCTACCCTTCATGAGCTCCAAAACTCTGAACTATAAATTCAGGGGCTGTTGGGTTAGCTTAAATTCTACAGCCACAATAAAATATGAACTATTGAAAATCCTTACCCAAAGTTTCAAAAGTAAATCTAGAATCTGAAGGCCAAATATACCATTCTGGATACTGTTCGTAGAGCAAGGATAATCTGAACTTATACTGTGTTTTTGGCCTCAAATTTTTAACAAAAATTTGCACTATATCCTCATGGTGTATCCCTGAAGTAGCTTTAGCCCAAGTGTTTGTAGACGTTATCGGTGCATATTCCACCACATATTCCTGGATATGTGAAGTAATTTCCCACGTCAATGTTAACGTTTGGGAAGTTTGATTAACTAAATCAAACACGGCTGGTTCTGGATAAGTAGTAATCTGCACTCGGTCGCTGTCTGACATTGTTTCGTTTGTTTCACTATAGGCTCTGATCCAAACTGTGTAGGTTTCATTAGGACTGAGTTTTTGCAGTAAGGTGGTCAGAATGTGTTTGTTTTTTTCTAAAGTTTTTAAATCGCTAACAGGTTGTTCTCCTTTTTGTCTGACACCAGTCAAGGAACCTTCTGTAAGCCAATGGATTTCGTAATGGATTATTTCTCCATTGAGCTGTTCTGGTGGTAGCCAGTTCACTTGAGCTAGAGTAGGATGAAGAACTGAGGCTGATATGTTTCGTGGTTTCGAAGGAGCTAAAATAATATAATAGATTAAATAATTCAATAAAAATTCATCTGGGTACCTCCTGGCGATGTTCTAGAAATCAATGGTTCCCCAAATACCATTTTATCCCCTTTGTTGAAGTGATTACTAACTGCTGCGCTCACAGAGTACATAGTAAAAGGCCTCAAATTACTCAGCTCAAAGGTTTCATTGAAAGTACTCAAATATCTTAAAGTTTCTACAAATCTCAACACCTCACCATATTTTATAGTGTATATGGCGGAGGGCGTTGAAGTGTTCATGCAATCAGCATCAAAGACTATTTTTGGCATTTTCAGTGTCAAAGAATAATACGATTTTTTTTCAATTGTTGGTGTAAAGTTTGAATATTGTTTAGGGCTCAAACATTCTTTTGATGGATATGGCTGCACGTGTTTGCCATAAATATTCACATCATTAGCTTTTATTGGTTTACTTAGTAAATTAATATTGCCTTTTTTCAGTGCATACAATACTCCCTCACTGTTTAACCAATAAAGCGATCCAAAATCTGATTTAATTTTATGGAGTGGAAACGTTTGGCTGACATTTGCTATAATGTTGCACATACAGCCATCTTTATCCGAAGCAAAAACCTCTTTTGTATTTGAATTAATAAAAATTAAAGATGGTGTTTTCTTAATGTCAGAATGGTCAATGGTAAATGTTGGTTCAAGTTGGATATTTTCTGATGGACAGTTGCAACTGAGGCTTCTTTTTTGTCTATTGCCAAAAAAATTTCTTACATGTGAACCATCTATGTTACTAAATATTACATTGTGGTTTCCATTATCATCAGTTTCAATCCAATAGATTTTCCTTGTCAATGGTGAAACTTCAATTTTTGCTATATTGTTAGTTGTCGAATAAATTTCATTATTTTTCATAATATTTTTATCAAGATGGTTTAAGTTTATTTTATAAATAATTGAGCCAGTTGTATCATTAATCCCTTCAACATAATACAGGCTTCTCTCCAGCCAATCCAAAGCCAAACCTTTTGGTTTACCTTTAAGGTCTAATATTTTAGTTTTATTGGACGAATGTAAATGATACATGAGTAGCTCTTGCATTTCATTCACCCAAAACAGTTTGTTTTCTCTTATGAGGTAAGATATTTCCAATGGAGTGCTTATTCCATTTATCAATGGGTAATTGTGGTCTGCATCAATATCTTCTAATGAAATGGTGTCAAAAGATGCTATAAGGAGAGTTGGAGGAGGTGATTCTTGGCTGGAATTTGCTGAAATTGGAGTTGACATAGCGCCTGTGCCTATTTCAGTATAGGCTTGAACCTGGAAATTAATATTTTACTAAAGTCCTTACATAGTTTAGTGGTTATCGTCCTTATCAAATTGATCTTGGTAGGTGTTATTAGGTACAGGACACAAAAAAACAAATTCCTTTTTCAAAAAATTGCCGACGTTTCGAATTATTTGAAATCTTTTTCAAGGCTATTTCTCATTAGTAGGAAATGTCATTTACAATGAGAATACAGATAAGACTGTGAGTAAAGATCAACAAATACAAAAACTAACAACAGAACTAGAGGACTTACAAATCGACAACAGAAACCTTATATGTATCAACAATAACAATCCTAGAGTGTGACAACAAACTTCTTCAAAGTGAAGTATACGATTTAAAAATGATACCCACACACAAATGTACTCAACCTAGGACACCAATTGAACAGTTGTTACAGGGTAGCAAGGTCGCTAATGCTGCTGAAAAGAAAAGTTTTAAAGTTAAAAAGATTCTTATTCTCACTGACGAATATGGAATGTTTCTTTATCCACACTTAAGAAAATCGTTCTCAAGTGACTACGAAGTATAGGTATTCTCCAAACCACCAGCCCTATTTAGGCAAGCGGTAAGTGGCTTAAATCAAACCATATCCGAAATGAACAGTGATGACTTTGTGTTGGTGCTTGCTGCTTGCTGGGCTTGCTTGTCACAGTCGTCACATTAAGCTTAACTCGCAAATCAATGTTTTTTTCGGAAACAGATGGGTTCTGGTTTCCGAACGACACGCTTTTTAATAAAAATTCTAAAAATCTTTTTAACATAAAGATTAATTTCAAAAACTACGAAAAACTAAGGCACAATTGACCAAAATTCTAAAAGTTCAACAGATTGGACCCTAAAGCCAGCATTGTGAGAGTAATGTCTATAACTTAGTTCCTTTATATAAAAAATGTGATATAATATTCCAATTTTAAAGTGTTGTTGTTACGTACGTACTTGTCCAATGTGTCGTCCCGATTTTATTGAATTTTTCTGCACTTGATTACCTGACGAAGTAGCACTGATGATGGCCTAAGGCCGAAAGGGCTCTGCACTCATTTTGAATAATTAAATATTTGCACGAAAATACTCAACTTTCATTCCTCCTCATTTCCAAGCGTGCACACAGCCGTCAACCTTTGATGAAACTTATTTGACAGGGTTACCTAATAATAGATCGATATTTTTTCTAAAGACTGACAAATTTCAAAAATTTAAATAAAAAATAAAAAAATACAAATTCACTAATATTTAGTCATCCTATTTTTATTGTCTTTGTAACTACTTTTAGTACCACCGTTTCTATTTTTGTCTTTAGGTTTTAAGGCTTGTGTTTCCTTAATGTTATATTACCTACTTATTTACTTGTTCTTTGTTTTTAGTGTTTTAAGGATTTGGCTTTGTCAATGAATTGTATTTGCAATTTTCTAACAATAAGGCATATTTGATTTGATTTGATAATTTCTTTACACATTAGGGTTTAGCAATTGCGATTCGCTACAATTAAGAGATTATGTAGGGTTCAACTTTAATTTGGGTTTTCTCAAAGAAGCAGGGACGTTTGTCGATCGAGTATTAAGAGCTATGGGAATGTCTCTGAGAAAGACTCAAAAGAAAAAGTCTGAAAACCAAAGCAATACGAACTTGAAAAGAGAAAGTAGAATAAATACTAGGCAGGAAAAGAAGCAGAGACGATAGCACATCCGAATCAGAAATAATTTTGTCAAGTGAAACCCTAGCTGAAGATGTCTCTGATCCAGATGAACATCCTAGTGAAATCAAAGAAATATTCATTATTTCAGATCCATATTTGCAGTGTAGACACGCAATGGTATCTAGGGGAAATTGGGGAAATCAGGTAATCAATTGGGAATGATACAGGAATTCCTAAAAAAAAATGGAAATCCTTTGGTCATCATACAAAAATCTCTGAAAATCATTGGCAATCAGTCGCAATTCTTGGGACGGGAATACATGAGATTCATTGATTGCCAAATATGGAAATAATTGTACATTTGTAAAAGCATAGTGGTTGACCCCTCGCACCTACCAAGTCCTTATTTACTTTAGAAACTGTATCTGTCAATGTAATATTTAGAAGTTTTTACCTGAAAATAGTAGATGTTAGCTTCACTTAAATCTTTGATGATAAACTCCGTTTCGTTGGCTGCTTTCTTGTCGTCGCAGATAACATTTTCATTGTCATTCTCTACATACCAGCATCTGAAAAAAACAAACTATACCTATAGGGCAACTGAAACCTGAATCCTTGTTCCAATGTTTATACCACTTAGATACAAGTTCTATGGATTTTCCTATTCTCCTGCGAGTCCTGCGTCGGTTGTTGATTGAAATTACTAAATAACGATGAATGGCGAAACGGCAGACATTTCAACTACTCAACAACCGACGGAAAATAAATCCAATCCAGCAGACTTGTATATAAGTTCTACAAGCCTGTGAAAGCTTCTTCGAAATATATATTTATTGTCCGCTAACATCTTGAAAACTTTATAGCCATTTGAAATCATTTATTATAACAACATTAACATAGATAAAATGAAGCAAGCGCAGCTAATATTCATAAGATATAATATAAATTATCCCACATGTTTTATGTGTCTGAATTCAGCCATAACTTCTTCCATATTTCTTACCTTATATTGTATCCATTCAAAATTCCATTCGGGAACAAGGGAGGGTCCCATCTAAAAATGATCGAAAAATAGTTAACGCCTTTCAACGAATTATTGTGTTCGTATGTGACGTAGGTCCTCAAATTTCTCGGTGCTGAAGGTGTTGATGGAGGTGAGAAAATTACCACTCTGATTTGTGGTGAACTGGCCCAATAAGTGAACGCTCTGATTGTTACGTTTAGTGGTGTAAATGGGGTTACTTCTCTCCAGTATCTTATTGTCGGTTCAGTGGTGATGATCTAAAAATTAATTAAACAATGTGTCTTGACCGAGCATCTGGTTTTGGGAAGAATGGAAAGCTATATAGATAGTAAGTACTGTTTTATTCTAAAAACGCTGTAGGAAAAACTAATTTATTCCACACAAGATATGATGAAACTTCTGTGCGCATCATAAATTTTGACTCAAACAATAGTACCTATATATTGGTTATATATAACATACCGTTGCATTATTTGCTGGTAAACCATCAAGTTGTACCTCATAGAACACAGTTCCATAATTAACATTTCGAATCCTATCCCATGTAATATTGAAAGACTCTGAAGAACCCAAAGCCTTTATAGTATATTTCTGCACCATTTCAGGCACTACATTCACATCGTTCTTGTTTGTTATATTGCTAGGCCACCAATGTAAGTTTTCATCGACCACATAGACTAAATTCAAACCCCATATAGATTTTCCACTGAAAGTAGCCAAATTTTTTCCATCTAAATCACTGACGACGGCGTTTTTTTCATCTTGAAGCCACAACAATCTGTGACTGAAATATGTTAACGGTCCTTGCATGTTGGGACGCTGCAAAAGGGCGACACGAGATTTTTGGATGTTGCTGTCTGCTCCGTAACCGACCATTGGGGCGCGGAAAAGGTGAGAGCCGTCAGAACCACGGACTATCCAGTAAATTTGCTTACCATCAAAATCCAGTGTTAAGCCCATTACTGAAAAAATGGTGATTATTTTTGGCCCGCGCTCTCAAAGTTTTGGTGGGTACCTACCTTGCTTTCCAGAAAACGGTTCTAAACGATCATAATCCATTTTATCATCACCATTCAGGTGGGCACATTCAACGTCATATTCTCTGGACCAATATAAGTAACCATTTACTGAGTCTATTCTTATTTCTTTTGCTAGGGTTAATATGGGTAAAGGTTCTTGTTGGCTTCCATTAAGATTGCTTCGAATTATCTGGAAAGAAAGTAATCTCAGAACAATTATATTAAATAATTTCATCATTTATAGTATAGAAAAAATAGCCATGGCAGAGTTTTTTTGTTACTACTTAAAGATACTATAGTTATTTATTTGGAAATTAAGAGTTTACTACTTGTTGCCTGGACTATAGTTTCCTGCACAAATCTAAAACTTTTGACGTGATTTCATTCTACGTGCTTCTTACCAATTGTTGTTTTAAATTTGACCAATATAGTTTTTTGCCTATCCAATCGACAGCAATACTTCCGACAGAATCAATATCATTCAACCTTCCATGTTTTCTGGACGTTAGATTGTACCAAATCACATGACTATTGTTCGTAACCAAATAAACTTGATCCTGATACCACGTCAATCCCGTGAATTCAACATTGCCCAATAGACTTTTGTGCAGCAACGTTTCAACGTTTTCAATAGCAACATTACTCTTGAATAATCCTTCGGTTCCTGACCAAATTATTATAGGGTTTCTCGATTTTTCCAGAGTAGTACCTATAAATTCAGTGGACCAAGGTCCGGTCCCTGATTTAGTATAGGCTGCAACTTTTAGTTTATAAGATGTGTTTTCTGTGAGATTACTTATGCTGAATGATGAAGTATTTGTGGTAAACCCTGTTATATTATGTGTTGTGAGATCTTCTATTGATACTTTATATGACCAATTTTGCCAGGCACCTTTTCCTTGTAACCCTAATAAATGGGGTGGCAGCCATTTAGCTTTGGCAACGGTATTACTAAAAATCGCTTGTAAATGGGTTGGAGGATTTAACGGTATCGGCCATGGTTGGCTGTTGTTTAAATTAATTAAAATTTTCCTATATTGGGTTTTGCCTAGATGAGAAATTTTGTTGTGAAAATATTCGTCACGTCCTGGATGGTATTCTTCGTTGTAGACAGTACTACCATCCGTCCAGTAGAATTTTTTGTTAACTGTACCCAGAGATAGGACGTTTTCTAGTTTAGGATTTGCTACATTTTGTCGGATATTTTTTATGTCTTTGCTGAAAAAAGTAGGTATGTTGAAAAAATTGCCACAAAGTTTTTTTGAACAACTTACCCATCCAAAGAAACCGCCCACATAGTATTACTCCGCTGGTTAGCCACGTAAAGTCTAAAATTAATGGAATCAACAATAAACGCCCCCAAACTTGGCTCGTTTAATATTTGCTCAATTTTAGCTTGGTGCTTGATTCCGTTGCTTATATCGGAAATATCCAGGCGAAAAATGCCTCCATAATTTTCATCTCCTATAGTCCAGAAAAGGTAGCCGTTGCAGGGATCTATTTCCATTGCTGCTGGTCTTTTTGTTAGTCCTGCCAGGGCCACTGTCAAGTGACTACCATCCAAATTACACCTAAAATTGTATTGATACATCATTTTAATGAAACTGAATAACCCTGCTAGAGTGTGGTGCGACAAGAAAAAATATTCGATTATGCTGAAGGAAATTTTTGAGCTTCGTATTATCCCTTGATAATACGAAGACGATTATTTATTTATTTATTTACTCAATCAGTACACTACAGAATAACAATAAGGTTTCTAAATGGTACATACATGAAAATATGGTTAAAAAAATAAGATATTGGACAAAATCACAGTGAGCAACAGTTTGACTAGTAGTAGTACACATAAGCAAATACAAATTAAAATCTAAAGTTTAGACACAACGTTTAATCGACAATAAGGAACAATTTAAAAGATCACACTCCCTATAATTTCTGTTGTAATTGCAAATCATTCTGTCCACAAAAGCTGTGAATCCATAATTTGTTCTGTGCGGCTGCTCATAGAATAGTTGATGTTGTCTGGTTCTTCTAATGGGAACCAAAAATAATATTGATTCCAATAATGTGCTGCAATATAACCAATTATTCAAGATTTTGTAAAGAATAATGAGTAGGGCGTGTTTCCGTCTCTGCTCAAGGCTCATCATCCCACACAGCAACAGTCTGGTTTCATAAGGTATTCCAGATGAAGGAAAGTGGTGTTTATATAGTAGGTAGGTATTTTAGAAACCTGTTTTGGACATTCTCAAGTCTATTAATATGGATGGTATAATGTGGGGACCAGGTGACGGAGCAGTATTCAAGAGTGCAACGTACAAGGACGTTGTAAAGACATGTAATAAGTGCCTTGGTGTCGTTGATGTGTTTGGTATTTCGCTTAATGAAGCCAAGCAATCTGCAGCTTTTGACAACAATATTATCGATGTGCATTTTGAATATCAGTTTTTGATCGAACATTACTCCAAGGTCGTTGATGAATTCCACATTATCAATTTGTTGACCACCAATCTTATATGTTGACATGTGAGGAGATGTACTCTTGTGGAATGTTATTGATTTGCATTTGGATATGTTGATTTCCAGTAGGTTTGAAGAACACGAAGAGGCAAATCTGTCGAGATCTGGTTGCAGTGGGTTGGAAACACCTTTCCTAACATGATAAAATATCAGGTCATCAGCATACAGGAGAAAGTGCGAAGAATGGAAGCAGGCGGAAACATCGTCGATAAATAGCAGGAAAAGAACAGGTCCTATGTGTGATCCATGGGGAACACCCGAAGTGACCTTGACGTTTTTAGAGGAGTAGCCACACAGTTCAACCCTCTGGGTTCGATCTCCAAGATATGATTTGATCCATGCTAAATAGTTTCTAGAAATACCAATTTCTGATAGTTTTTTTATAAGAAGGAGGTGGCACACGCTATCAAAAGCCTTGGCTATCTGTGTAAATAGAGTCGACCTTGTGTCCAGCCTCAACGAAGGTTATTAAGAAGTTCTGGTAGACTGCTAGGTTTGATGCAGTTGAACGCTTGCTAAAGAATCCGTGTTGTTCTGGTATAAGGTAAAGTCTATAGGTTTCGAATATTTCCTCGGTTAAAATTGATTCGCATACTTTTGAGATGGCAGAAAGTATAGATGTTCCACGATAGTTCTCATCATCGCACCTATCTCCAGACTTGAAAATGGGAAAAAGGAGGGAAAACTTCCACTTTTCAGGAAAAAAGCCACATTCCAGAAATCGTTGAAAAATAATGCAAAGTGGTAAGGCTAAGGAAGACAAGCAACCTTTCAGAAATATAGCCAGTATTCCGTCGGGACCTGCTTTTTTGGATATGTCCAGCAGATTTAATTTGTCTGTAATTTCCTGTGTCTGGAAGTTATGAGATGATAGGGTAGTAGCAAACTGGACAGGTTCAATGGATGTCATATCCAAGTCATCGTGGCTGGAGTAAGATGCTTGAAAGTGCGTGGCGAATGCGTCAGCAATGGAATCAGAGCCGTCCAATGTGCAATCTTTGTACTCCATCTGCGTCGGCAAGCTCGAGTTCCTCTTTAAATTATTGATAAATGACCAAAAATGTTTGACATTTTGAGGGATCAGGTGCTCAGTGTTGGTAACATATAACAAGTAGCACATGTCAATGCGGACTTTAGTCTCACGACGAATTTTAGTGTAGACTTCATAGTCATCTTTCAGTCCTGATTTCTTGTATTTCATATATAGTCTATTCTTTTGCGCGATGCATTTACGAAGTCCTTTGTCATACCATTTAGGATATTTATCGCTCCTTATTGTTTTCTTTGGGACTGAAAGGTTAATACCCTGGAAAAGTGTTACATAGAAGAGAGTGATCATTTTATCAACATCGGTTATTGAGGACAAAACAGACCAGTTTGCCTGCTCATAAAAGTGGTTAAGTTCCGAGTAATTGAATTAGAAGCTCTTTGTTGCTCATGCTCATTTGTTCGATCTGATTTAAAAATCTAGCGTTTCAGGTGAAACGCTACAACTTTTCTATGCTTATTTAGCTTTTTTACCCAAGCATCTACTTTACTGCTGCAAGTGCATATGAACGTCAAAATAAATATAATGAAACACCCTGTATACACAAGCCGGTTAAAGTTTCAAAGGCCCATTTTAAATTGCATATTGTTTTACCTTTTTATGAGATATTTTCCTGGACTTTTCCTAGGCTTAACTTCGCCAAGAATGTACAACTGATTACTGATCCAATCAACTGAAATATCCAGAGGGAAAAAGTCTAGTTGTTCTGGTGCTAAGATTCTGGTGCGATTTTTCGTTTCCTGTTCTATAGGAATTCGCCAAACTGATCCGTTAGCATCCGAAAGAAACAGAAGTTGTTTGCTGATGTGAATTCCAATTCCTGAAATGAAGCAATAGTTGTTTTGATAATACTTGGGATTTTTAGCTTATGTATACCTTGTATAGCAGTGTCATCCGAATGAAATAAATGCAAACTATCCCCAAAAAGGGACTCTAGTTCAAATATTCCATATTGAGTACCAAGGATTAAGATTGGCTGCTGATTTTCTGAAACTACACCACAGATTGTTTAACGAAATTTTAAATTGAAAACGATGCTCACCCTGGGGTTCTTTTGGAGTAGAAACCTGTACTGTACTTGCTGGACCCGATCCAACTCTGTTTCGCATTTGTATGGATACTTTATAGTTTTTGTTTGGTTGAAGATCGCGGTAGACGTAAAAAGAACTTGGATAAGGAACATCCTGTAAAAATTAAACGAGTATTTGGTTAAAAGTTATGCTCTTCAAATTAGTGGAAGATAGAATTTGCCGTTATTGTTAAGATTTCAAATAGTTTATTGTTATTTTTATATAGGCTGATCATTAAAAACATTTGTTAATTATTTTAGGTTTAATTAGTTTGATTTCCTTAAATTTCAAACTTATTGTTGGAATTTGTTTTTTTGAGAAATTGACTTATATTTAATGAGTGAGACTAAAAGGCATGCAAGGAGAGTTTGTTAGTAAAACATAGATGGTTAGAAACAATAAACAGGTAAAGAAGGAAAATTCTAGGCCGCAGACGAAGCATATTAAACGAGAGCAAAGCAAAGTAAATATTTACAGGAGAGTTCAGTTAAACCAGGCTGCAACCAAAAAGTGCATTTACTTACTACACATATCAAGTGCTATTTTAAATATAAACAGATTTTTATAGTAAGAAGATGTTTAAAATCATCCAAAACAGGAACTGCTGCTGGCAAAAAGTGCATGTACTATACAAAATATAGGTGCTAGTTTCACTACAGATTTAAGCTAGATCAGTGAATGCGGAACAAAATCATGAATAATGTAATTACATATTTATTTATGGAAAATTCATTCAAAAAGTCACTGATTATTATCTAAAGAAGATGCACAGACAGCTTAAGGTCACAAAGGGGGCAGTCCCGACCTTTCGTCGCTCATACTGGCATCTATTTACCAACACTAATAAACGTGCGTTTTTGTAGCTTTGAAGTTTTGAGTTTTTATTATATCTCTCTTAAAATGGCATGACATTTTCAGCTACGATGTGTCTCCTTTTCAATATCACTGCATTTGAAGGTCCAAGACAAATAACAGAGAAGCGGCAACTAACAACTCAAACGTCAGTTAATACATAAATATTGAACATCTCTAGTCTATCACAGGTGAAAGTGATCTTTTACAGTTATCACGGGCCGTGCACGAGTGCATGTTTTTTACCCACAGAATCAGTTGCAAAACTATAGGGTAAGATCTTATCCCTTATAACGACTATTGCTGTGTGATCAACGGTCAACTAGAGTCCAGCGCACCGATCTTCTTGAGCTAGTTCCTTCAAATACGATAGTATGAAATGTATCTGCGGGACTCTAGTTCTGGACACTTTTCATAGGCAGCAATCCACCTATCCTGACTCGAATAATGCACGCTAATAGGAGAATGCTTTATCCAGCATAGCAACTACTCCCTCAGTTTCCTGTGGTAGAGATGTCGACCTCTTTTTTTGAGTTTCGTGTAACAATCGCATGAATACTTACCTCATCGGAGTAGATCCTGTCGTACTTAACCGATTCCAAAGTCGCTTTATATTCATATATTATTTGAACTAAATTTCATTTCATCCATATTTTATGCAAGTAATGCGACATTTTCCACCCAGTTTGTGATTGTGTGACTCTTTTAAATATCTACCCGTAATAGCAGGAACCCCTTGCGTTACTATAAAATTGATGACGTTTCTTTGCATGTTACACTTATCACATTTGTTCTGGAACATGTAAAAAGTATATAGTTTTTCAACAGTGACAACTATTGGAACGAAATTATTCAGTGAATGTCTTAACATAGCATCACCGACTGAAGAAGAAAGATTTTAACCAAAAACCCAACACACACGCCAGTTCGAATGTTCAGTAGTGTTGGAAAATAGGCGCAAGTATTATTATTATTGCCCCCTTTAACAAAAAATCAATCAGATTTATTTAAATTTGATTGCTCGCTCGCGGCCCACCTTAACTTCGGATCGGGCTTTTTGCCCTCCCGAAGGACTATCGTCGGTAATCTGGAGCACATAGGCAAGGAGAGGACCGTGTGGAAAGGGACCGGGTTCCCAACTGACGCTGACCGAATGGGCATCCACGGGAGCAGCTCTCACGTTCCTGGGGGGCGACGCTGGAACCCCCGAGGCCAGAGTAGCTATCACCACGCTTTGTTCCGAGTAGATCGGGTCGCCGTGACCGTGGCCTAGGTTCAGAGCGATACGAAACTGGAAAAGAATTATGCCTATTATGTATTGAATTAAATTTATTAATTTTGTAAACGTATTCAAACTCAAAACTGTTTTAATGTCTTCTAATCAAATAAATTGACAAACTCTAAAATACCAGAATAGGCTCTAGAGATCAACAATTTCTCAACTTTCTTCTTAAGCATTCCTCACTTTCAATTATTCCAGTGGAATTTCTCGTTTTACTTTGTCGTTATTATTATCTGCGAAGAGTTAAAATAATTGATAAAAATATTGAAAAGCAAGGACTCAAATTTGAGTTCTGGTGTTCCCAGTTGATAGGTACTGCAGTTTGTGAATAAGCAGAGTTTTTTATGTGAACTATCTGCGTCTATCTGAGATAATTTTTTTAATCCACTGAAGCAGTACCTATACCTCTTCAACACATTAGTCAATATGTGCGTGGGAGTTATGGGATTTAATTCAGTAGATTATTTTTTTTAAAAGACTATTAACTGTTCAGGGATGATCTGCAAACATAAGCATGGACTAACATAAAGGATATAAATTCAACGATAATTAGCGTCGATTCATGGATCCCCAGACTTATGAAACCACACTATTCGTCATCCAGCAGTCAGGAAAAAAGTCGTTCTGCAGGGATTTGTTGAACATTGAGTGACCTAGGAGGTACAATGGTGTTTTGATAGAACAAAACAGGAAAAAAAGAGACTTGATCTGGACACGGTCCCTCAAATTGATTGAGATTATTCAACCAGTGGCGGCGCTTGGATGCACTGGGTCCCTAAGCAAATATCACAATTAGGCCCCCCTGGATTCTATTAATGGCAAATTGTTCAACTAAAAGAGCCAATTAGAAGCTGCGGAAGAAGAAATTTTGATTATTATCAACTCAAGAGCTACTAATGAGTAATCGAAATTTTGATTATTATCGGCTCTAGAGCTTTGAATGCCCTTAGAAAAATTCTCTAGTGAATCCAGAGTTGATAAAAGTTCAAATTTTGACTATTACCGGCTCTTGATTGGCTCCAGGAAGGGTTTCCAAAGAATCAAGAGCCGGTAATAGTTCAAATTTTGATTATCTGTGGCTTTTGATCCATTGGATAATTTTTCTTGAACCAATTTGAAGCTGCGGAAGCGGAAGAAGAAATTTTGAATAATATCAACTCGAGCTGCTAATGATGATTCGAAATTTTGATTATTATCGGCTCTTGAGCTTTGAATGCCCTTAGAAAAATTCTCTAGCGAATCCAGAGTTGATAAAAGTTCAAATTTTGACTATTACCGGCTCTTGATTGGCTCCAGGAAGGGTTTCCAAAGAATCAAGAGCCGGTAATATAGTTCAAATTTTGATTATCTGTGGCTTTTGATCCATTGGATAATTTTTCTTGAACCAATTTGAAGCTGCGGAAGCGGAAGAAGAAATTTTGAATAATATCAACTCGAGCTGCTAATGATGATTCGAAATTTTGATTATTATCGGCTCTTGAGCTTTGAATGCCCTTAGAAAAATTCTCTAGCGAATCCAGACATGATAAAAGTTCAAATTTTGACTATTACCGGCTCTTGATTGGCTCCAGGAAAGTTTTCTAGAGAATCCAGAGCCGGTAATAGTTCAAATTTTGATTATCTATGGCTCCTTTATCCATTGGATAATTTTTTTGGGTGCCCGGGCCTCTAAGCATCGCTTATATCCGCTTATGCATATCGCCGCCACTGCATTCAACTCAGTATATAAATCAGAGATGAATAGGTATGTACAGGGTGCTGCAATTTGGAGTGTTTCAATAGGAAAAACACACTTCCAGACCAGATAGAGGAAAATTGACTTAAACGTCATGGGATCGATTTTTGTGAAACGTCAATTGTCAAAAACCGTATCACGATATCTTCAATGGTACCATTGATACAGGGTGATTTTCGATTTTTTCCTATTATGAGAAATGTCTATAAGTTTTTTATTTATCAATTTTTTTTATTTCTGTAAAAACATTATGGAGACAGTTTTTTGAGCACAATCCAGTGGCGGACTCAGTTTTTTTCTATATCGTTCCAATTTCGAGATACCGACCAAATTCCGATATTTTCAAATGAAACACCCTAAATATTAATAGCTCATTGGATAGCTCTGTTGTTGCTGATTTCAATGATATAAAGTTCGATAGGTTTATCTCTAACAGTTTTCGAGAAAAAAAATTATATCTGTTTTTGTCGTAAGGACCAATGTGTTAGAAAAGGATTTTATATGTGTAAGGAAAAAGAGGAAGTTCTCTTTTTAACACATTGTTTCTTATGACTGAAACATATTTTTTTTTTCTCGAAAACTGTTAGAGATAAACCTATCGAAGTTTATATCATTGAAATCAGTAAAAACAGAGCTATCCAATGAGCTATTAATATATAGGGTGTTTCATTTGAAAATATCGGAGTTTGATCGATATTTCGAAATCGAAACAATATAGAAAAAAACTGAGTCCGCCACTAGATTGTGCTCAAAAAAGTGTCTCCATAATGTTTTTACAGAAATAAAAAAAATTGACAAATAAAAAACTTATAGCCATTTTTCATAATAGGGGAAAATCGAAAATCGCCCTGTATTAATGGTACCATTGAAGATATCGCGATGCGGTTTTTGACATTCGACGTTTCTCAAAAATCAATCCCATGACATCTAAGTCAATTTTCGTCTATCTGGTCTGGAAGTGTGTTTTTCCTGTTAAAACACTCCAAATTGCAGCACCCTGTACAGTGCGGGAATCATTGCAATTGGCACACACTCTTTTAAAATCCCTCGTTTAAGTCAAAATTCTAACCAATAAATCTAATCGGTGCAGTGGTGTACGTGATATTTTAACCCCTTTTTTCTCTTTTTTATGATTGTGATGATTGTGCTACTGCCAGAACCTAGGGCTAAAGCAACTGCTCGAATTGTCTCACCTTGTGCTATCATTTCAGTTGGCTCTTGCCTTTTCGTCATTGTTATGCATATGGTAAAACAAGTTTAACTAAGAAATATTTTTTTCCTTTAACAGTTTATTAAAACTTATAGGTTCACCACTGATTTATCAATCTGTCACGATTTTGACATCACCTGTGCCGGGTATTCACTGAGCCAAGGAACTCAGAGTTCATTGGCTTAAGGACATATGGCAGCAAACTTGTAATTTAGCTTATATAAAGATAGAACTCTTCAGGACGGCTTGTGCTTGTGGTATCAATAAGATAGTTTCGAAAACTCTCTCTAGAGAAGCGCTTACATTGGGAACCCCAGTTAGAGAAAATTCTGGCATCCGGTGGCACTTTAAGCTGCTTGTATTTTATATGAGAAGTTTTCATTCAAATGAGTCCCTTTAGGGCCTGTGAGAACCATTTGGTGCACCTTCTACTGGTAATTCTTTCAGTTAGTAGATACGAAAATATATAATGCTTCATACAATTCACCATAGAAAAGATTCAGCATTTCCTCAACCGTTCTATCGAGGAACAGGACATCAAGTAATCGAGGTACCGATTTCTCCATGAAGTTAGCAAATTAGAAGTAATAACCATCTCCCTGCAGACGGTGATGGCTATCTGATAGCAGTGGCAAAATACCAGGGCTTAGGATGTCATTGTTAACATCCGGAACGAGTTTATGGGCTATTAAGCTGGAGCAAGTTATGGGATGCGTACACATCAGACATTATTAATCCTGATGGGGTCAGGTTTACCCCCTCACGACAAAACATAAGTTTTCTGCCGGTAGATTGAAATCACCCATTATACTGAACTCAGTAATTTCAAACTGTTGAACTAGGTATTTCTTCAGAGTTGCTAAACTACAGCATTCGTACTCCTCTATTGGACAGTTTTTTGGCAAAGTCACAGCCCATAATGATCATTTGCTTTCTGCCCTTAGCAATATCACATATATGGCACTTGATTTACCCTCTTTAATAGGAAACATTTTGCTTGGCCTGAGTCGGGCCTGAGTTATCAAGAACCAACGTACCGGTTTCATACCATTTCCGTTAAGAATATAAAACTTAATCAACTTAATTAGTAACACAAAAAATCTTACTCGGTATTTGGTATATGGTTGCAACCCTTCTACCAAAAAATAGCTGTTATCCGAACTCCAAGTAGCGTTTCTGCTGTACTGCCACGCGGCAGCCATCACTTCGTACCGCCACTGAACGTGGAAGCTCAGTTTTGCTCTTGAAGCTTCCGGAAATCGCCATTCTAGTTTCAACGTCGTAGCTGCCAAAGAGTTATCCAGCAGTGCTGGTGCCGGGGGTACTCCTAGAAGCGATCGTACTTGACCAAAATATTTTCCTATTGCATCATTACAGCCTATGACGCAATATAGTTCTCTGTGGCTCAGACGATCCGTAGTACCGTTCTTGAAAATACAAAATAGATCTATAAAGATAGAGAAAAGTTGCAGGGTTGTTAGTTGTTACTTACGCAAACTTTTTGGCATGATGACGAAAGTGCATCTTTCCATAGGGTGCAGCCTTTGGAACACTGAAAAAGAATGAGGAACTGAAAATATTATAACTATATGAACCTAGTAGGTAATAATTGAAACGTGGTATTCAGAACGTCCTATTATTTGAATACTTTCAAGTAATAAGTAATGTAAGGTTTTTCTTCAACCTATTTATTTATTTATTGGCGGGTCAAGCCCATTAAAAATTAACAAAGTATACAAGTGAAACAACAAGTAGATAATAAAAGCAAAATGCCAATCAAAATAGATAAAGCCGAAACAAAGAATGCAATAAGTGCCAAACCATGATACTTAATTAAATTAAATAAAATCAAATTAAGTCAAATCAAACTAAATACAAAATCACAGAATAAAATAACAATAATTATAACTTGAGGCCAGTTACAGTTCTCGCAAATGGTTCATAGGGCCCAAAAAATCAATGTCTCCCAGTTCATTACACAGTCTGAGGGTACGAGGAATGAAAGAGTGATATGCATAGTTGGTTCTGTGAAATTGAAGATGAAAAGTTTGAGATGTGCGGGTGTTACGTGATGGGACATGTGTTTTTAGAAGTCAAGTAGGGGCAATCAATTATGGAATTTAGGATTTAATGTATCAGTTTGAGGTCTTTCGGCTTCCTTCTTGATAAGTTGAGTGCGTCACAAAGTGATGCCTAATGAAATTCATCATCGTTAAAAAAATTGTATTTGAGATATCTGCAAAATTTACGCTGCACACCTTCAAGGCGATGAATATAACAGGCATAGTTTAGACTCCAAGCAGATGCAGCATACTCAAGATGTGTACGAACAAATGAGAAGTATAACGTTTTGATGGAGTTGATATTCGCAAATTTCCTTGTACTACGCTTCACAAACCCAAGCATTCGAAGTGCTTTGTTAACTATGGCACGGATGTGTGAAGAGAAATCAAGATTGGAGCTCAGCAAAACACCCAGATCTCTGATCTGATTCACGCAGTCCAATGGTGTACCATTGATGTGATATATGCAGTCATTAAAGGTTCTAGACCTGTGGAATTTCATAACTTTACACTTCGTAACATTAAGATCCATACCATTAGTTTGACACCCCTCTCTTGCAGTGCATGGCAGTCATCAGGAGTAATGATTTTCAAAAATAATTTCAAGTCATCGACAAAAAGAAGAAATGAAGAGTGTAGGAAAAAAGAATATATGTCATTGATGAACAGGTTGAAAAGCAGTGGCCTAAATGCGAGTCTTGAGGAACACCTGATTACACCAAGATTTGGGAAGAGGTAAAGTTGTTAATATGAACTATCTGTGTTCTTCCTGTAAGATAGCTTCCCACCCATTGAAGTAGAGAGCCAGAGATGCCAAGTCTCTCTAGTTTTTTGATCAGGACTAAATGATTGACTATGACAAACGCCTTGGAGAAATCGGTGTATATAGTATGTACCTCCTTACCCCTCCTCACCAAGTCGCCTCTCAGAAAGTCATAGTATGTGAGAAGATTAATTTCCGTTGATGACCTCTTTTTGAAGCCAAACTGCTCGGATATAATTTCGCTGCTCAAAGATGATGATGAAAATTTTGTGACAATATTCTCAAAGATTTTAGGAATTGCACTGATGATGCAAATTGGGCGATAATTAGTAACATCTGATGAGTCATCGGATTTAAGAATCGGCACCACATAAATGGCTCTCCAATACTCAGGGAAGAAACCGTCCCTCAGGGACTTGTAGATTATATGCAAGGGTCTGGACAAAACAAAACAGCAGTTTTTCAGAAAGAGCGGGTGGATATGGCCCTGGTCCCTTGTTTGGGTCGATGTTATTTAGCTCCATGTAGATGTCAGAGATAGGAATAGTGAAATCAAATAAATTGTGAGGAGATAGAGAAAGTTGATCTGGGAAATCCAATACTTGATCAGTATAGAATGAACCAAAGTATTCGGCAAAGAGTTCGGCAGCTTGGGGACTCATAGCCGCCGACTCACCATTATGTCTAAAACTTGAAGGAGGCTTACTCGAGTTTTGTATAGATTTGGTATAGGACCAGAACTGTTTTGGGTCACGCTGCAATGCCGATTCAGTTTCAATTAGGTTTTCACGAAAATTCTCCCTAGAGAGCAGATTGCACTGTGAGCGCAAGTCAGAAAATGCCAGATAATCCGAAGGTAGGCGACTTTGTTTATATTTTTTGTGTAAGACTTTTTCCTGCATAATGAGTGCCTTCAAATCCTTTGAGAACGATTTGGGAAACCTTCCACTGGCTATTCTTTTAACAGGTACAAAGAGATCAAAGGCTTCATATAAAAAACTATAAAGAATGTTAATCATCTCATTCACAGACTTGTTCAAAAGCAGCTCATCCCAGGAAATAGAGCCAAGAAAACAGTTTATGTCGTTTGAGGCTTTGAAGTCATAATAGTATCCATCTTCCTGTGGATTTGAATTGCAGTGATTCTGTTGCAGTGTGGCTTGAAACAACAGGGGTGGATAGTTATTATCCAACGGAAGCAGGTAGTCATCTTCATCTGGCTGAGTTATAGGGATCCTTGAGTGGCAGAATATTCAAGTCAAGGGTGACATTATTGATATTATAAATATTATTAAGCTGGTATAGATTGTGAAAAGCACATACTTCTGACATATGTTGTATTTTATTGATTTCAGTAGGAGCAAGGTAACCCTCCATATTATGGTGAGCCACCGAACAGATATCTTCTAAAGTCCAGCTGGCTTTGGGGAGATTGAAATCTCCCATGATGCAACATTCAGTATGGATGAATTGTTCAGAGATATCTTCCAAGTTGTTACTAAAGCTTGCGTACTTCTCAATTGGGGAGTTTGGTGGAAGGTATACGCAGCCCAGGACCATTTTTTTTCTACCACTGTCTACAACGACAAAAACTTGCTCGATGTCACCTGTTGCACCAATGAGACGGGATGGTATTGACTGATAAACAGCGATCAGGACACCACCAAGGCGCTCAGCAGTGCTGGTAGCTCTTGAGCGATCACAGCGAAACACATTGTATGAATCAAAACCAAGCTCGGCAGTGTAAAAGTTTTCACTTAAACCAGTTTCAGTGAAGGCCTCTATTTCATAGTTATTCACAGCTATATTGAAACGAAGTTTATCCAGCTTTGTTCTGAGACCGCGAACATTCGGGTAGTATATGTCATAACTTACTGGTTTTCTTCTACGTTCTGCGGTGTGTTTGGTGTTGCTGAGGCTTGACCCCTTCGGGTTTTTTTCTGGCACGACTCGAGGAATGCCCTTGACAAGTTTAACTTGTATGTTCTGCTCACTGTGATCCTGGCGTCTTTTCAGATCCTCCAACGCTGATTTTTCAAGTTCTCTCTGTCTAAGTGTCAAGTCACACTTTATGTAGATTTGTTTGCCCTTGAGTTTATGTCGATTGTGGAGCGCAGTCTGAACTTCATATGGTGATCCCAATACAGCTCGCATAGGGCATGCATTATTTGAGTTGGGCTTGCCAAAGCGAGACACCCGACAAAGCGTAAATTGAGTGCCAACCAGTAATTGTAGTATATAGCGAAGCTCTGAAAAATTATCTTCTGACGCAGATAAGTTGAAGAGTAGTAAATTATTAGCTTTACTCTGACGGTCATGAAGTTCAGTTAGCAAATCAATAGACGGAGTGGAAGGTCGTGGTGAAGTCGTTGAAGGAACCTGTTGGATCGGTGTATTTGTGATAATGGATTCGAGGCGAGTGATTCTTTCCTCAATAGAGGTTGTAGCGGCGACCAGAGACTCTTGAATTAACGTTGGTAAGTTATTTTGTAGATCCTCAAGAGATTTTTCAAGTTGTTCCAAACGATCCATTAGGCCGAGTATTCGCTTCACAATAGCCAAGCATAATTGCAGTAGAATGGAAAAGTTCGTTTTGAAAGAACTATGGCTCTAATTTCAGTTGGGCCAGTAATGTCCCCACAAGTTTGGCATGTTACCTTTTTGCAGTGGTCGCAGGGATATCCAAAGAGTTCGTTTTTCGATTTATTGGGTTCTTTAAAAATGACTGCTGCATTACAGGTGCTGCATGAACCGGACATTTTAGGTTATCCCAAAATTTTTGCAATCCCTTGACTTTATTGCGGTTTTTTTTTATTCACAAACGGACACAAGCACTCAGACAACACACTGGCGTGATATTTGCATTTGATTTTGCAGGAGATAATGAAAAGTTAAATTCTTGTGGTTTATTTTGGGTTTTGAACATAAAAAGTCTTTAATTTTACTAAATGTTGACTCATGGTGGCTTTAATGTTCCACGAGCACGTTCCTTTTTTTGTAAATGTTTTGCAGCATAATAAAATAAGGGTACTTTAATCCCAATTAAATTGTTTAATAATTGTATACCTTTCAAATTGATAACATAATTAGGAAATTTCTGTGTAGAAATCCTTAATTAAAGCAATTATGTTAAAATTAAATATTATTCCTTAGCAAACTCTTTCCCATCCCATCATCCTCAAATGGACAGACAGGAAGACCGACTGTGGAAACGGATATAGCCATGATGAATGTCCGTTCATTGGCGTGATTATTTTTAAAACTTTTATATGAATGGTGGCCATGCAGTAGGTACTCTGTGAGTATGGTCTATAAGCGTGCGACTTTGTTTACATGAATTTCGTCGGAGCGGATGCCTCAATTAAGCCGCGTACGGTCACATTTCAATTAAAACTGTCGTGGACATTTTGTGCATTGAATTGCCTTTTTTTTTCACTTGGAGAGCTTTTTTTATATTGAGGTCAACGGAACCAATTTGTCGCAGAATTCTCTTTGGGCTGTACTTATTGTTTACCGTCGACTGAAACTTCCAAAATTAAATTTAGCGTTGATGGACTAATGTAGCGAATTATGGAACGATCGTGGAGAGTTGACGTTTATTGGAAATTCCTAGAAGATGATGGTATAGAAATAATATTATGGACCGAGAAATTGCTCCTGAAAATTATGCGGGACATTATTTACGGCGATCTTTAATCATACTTGTCTAGTGCAAAGTCTAACTCA